TTGTTGTTTAACGCCGCACTCAGCACTATTCCCGCTATATGACGGCGGTCTAAACCAGACAATCCAGTGATTGTGCATCGATCCACGCAATTGGGATACGATGACATGCATGAACCAAGTCAGCGAGCCTGACCACTCAATCCCGATAGTCGCCGCCTACGACAAGCATAGTCGCCTTTACGGCAAGCCTGGGTTGCTGAAGACCTATTCTATTCCGGGTCTTCACGTCAATAGGCATCGTTACAAGGACATGCTACTTCAAACGCCCTACGTCCCTGGATACATTCGGCTGTTATCATTGATAAGTTGGGGTGTAAAGTATATCCTTGCTCCAACCCAATAACACAAAAAGCACCTGTTTAACTTCAAGATGTAAACCCAAATAAACAATAATAATAATACCAATACAACAATAACAACAACAATAATAATAACGCGCCAAATTCCATTCACCAAGTGAATGTTTATAGTGCTACATTATTACTCCGGTCAATGGGTCAGTCTACAGATTTTCATTCTTAGATCCCTGGGAAGTATACAGCCAAGGTTGCATGTGCGTCGCTAGAAGGTTTACAGTCACGTTCCCATCTCGCCCTGTCGGGTACCCATTCACTGCTTGGTAGACAGTGGCATATTTCGAACAACGGCATTTCTGTAAGGAGACACGGCTTCAGTGTGGGACAGGACCGAAGTCTTAGAAACTCTCAGGAGTCAAGCTGCCGAACACAGTCACCCATCCAACTACTCTCCGCGACCAACGTTGCCTAACTTCACCTGATTTGTGACATATGCGTTGCACACAGGACCACGTGACACCTATGAACTGAAATCTTCATGTACATAGTAACGCACATGGTATACTCGTGTCTGTGGCATGTTATACACGTATGTTAACAGTTGACTTCACACTTGTAACAAACCCCATATACGTGGGAGAGGACAAGTCAAACCGGTCAGTTGTGGACCAGAGTATAAGACTGTAATAACGCACACCATCCTTTACCCATTCAGCCTGAAACTATAGTAACCGGCCCTCCAACACGCAGAGGAAATTTCAACCGCCTAAATTGCGTCGTTGTATAACCCCTGAAGTAGATAGATACACGAGTCCTCAACACAAATTGTGATCATCATTTAAAAAGGGGGGAAGGAGAGAGAGAGAGGATGCTCACGGAACACTTTTATGGACGCACAGAAGGTTGTATTGATCTGTAACACTACCACCACGTCAATCTGAATTCTCCCCAAATGGGCTTCACACATTGTACCCATTGTTCATTGTCGGGAATCGAATCCGGGTCTTCGGCGTGACGAGCGAACGCTTTAACCACTAGGCTACCCGACCGCCCTCAGCGGTAGATAATTAGGCACGATGACTAACGATCAGCCAGATTACATTTTGTATGTAACATCTTCATTTCCGTCTCTTACAACTACCATGGGATCCTAGGAACCTATTCTGCCCAGGAATCTACACATTCATTGAAACAACTCAAACGTCATTGCGACATATCATACAGTTATAAGAAATGCAACGAAACTCGGTAATATTTCAACATCACTTACACACGAGACATTCGAATTGAACACATGACTATCAGGGCTATATTTATCGCTATCTAACACTTCAAAACTACCACCACTACAGTGAAGATGGAGGGAGAACTGTATTTTCACACATTCCTAAACACATGCCTTGTTCTACTGCATTCCTACGAAGAGAAGGTCCATGGTGACACAACCGCGATTCATGTTAAAATATATCCCCGTAAACACATGTACATTTCACTCGGGATTCAATTCATTGTATACGAACATCTCTGTCAGTTTCAATCGCTGCTTAATGGTGTTTATGAAGGTAACGCGATGTTTATATATATCTCTGTAAATGTACCCAGTTCGTGGCCTCCTTCGCAGAAAGACATACCTCAAGCGGGTTTTTTTAAGAATTGTGAAACTAGCAAACAGTTTCAGACCCTGGTTGGAAGCAACTTAACAATCGCAGGCAATATTACTTCATCCATAATACAATCTACAACATAAACAATTTTCCCAATTGCCTCAGGGCCCACCATTTAATACTATATCAGCGGGGTATCTCCTTGCTAGGGTGTTTCAACCCCTGGCTCGGGGGTATAAAATCTCAAGGTAGAGGGTGTCAAATCTCAAGGTAGAGGGTGTCAAATCTCAAGGTAGAGGGTGTCAAATCTCAAGGTAGAGGGTGTCAGATCTCAAGGCATTGGGTATCACTCACGGTGGTCGCTTGTCTCTTAAAATTGTAGTAGATTGGACAGAATACTAAGAGAGAGGGTGTGTATCACTGGGATATATACAAGTGGGGTAGACAGCACACGCTACTAATTTAAAGGGTGTATAGCAATTTAGATTGGATTCTTCATATATTCGGTGGCACCCACTAGAAGAATGATCATCTACACAATTCACATGGATTTTTACCAGTCTGTTGATCATTCAAATTAAATCATGTTGTGCAATGCGTCGATATATAGCGTACCGGGTCGCCTTGCAGCAGTTTTTATTGATACATCTCTATAGAAAACATGTACCTGCCACACAATACTTTTATTGCATGACTTCACGTCAAGTGCATAAGGCGAGTCGAAATTGAAAGGCATTTTCAAACCCCTCATCCATTTTAAATCGATCATGCGTGTACGGTATTGCGACAAGGAGCATCGTATGTCATTCAGAAAAACCCGGAGGCTGCTTTCAATAATGACATAACATCCTGAGGAAGGCATTTTGGTTGGGATGCCTTGTTAGGCGTGAAACCATTAAGACCGGGATTCTCAGCGCAACTGAGGTATGCGAGAGAAAAAACACGAAATATCAGTCATGCAATGGGATATATACTACATGCGCGTTCTCCTTTCAATACTTTTGACTTGCAACAGAGGGGAATACATGAACCATGAAAAAGAAAGGAGTTTTGATGTGGGCTCCTTCAAATGATTAAAATAATGACACAAAAAAGTCTGTTAACCATATTATTGATTGATAAATCATCCCCTTCAGAGAAATATGCTGTGCCCTGTGCTGTGACGAGAACACGTATTACAAACTGAGCTACGAACCTAACTGTAGTGTTTCTAGAAGCTGGAAAGCACATGAAAGTTTAATTATAACCCTGCGAAGCGACCTGGTTAGAACACCACTTTCTACTCTGCATCCATTGGAAACAAACATCAGGGTGAGTGAGGTTTCACTCAGCGTTTACCAATATTCGAGACATATCACAGCAGGTCTTACCATAGATGGGCATCACAACATTTACATGAAGCAAACAGGTGGGATATGGAGAGATTAAGTACTATCAATGCATGGATTTCCCGCTAGGCTGAAAAGAGAAGGGTCAGTGTGTATCCTTGCTGTACGACAGCAGGAATTACAAGTCATGCCAGCCCTAAAATATAACACCGAGGAGTTGTATAAACATAAAGCAAGAATATTAAGAGGCATTTAAGTTACAAGATATGTATTATATAAACCCTTACAGGGAATAATAGTGCACTGATCGACATTACGGAGGAATGCATAATGTTTGATGAAGTTCGATTTATATGCCAACTGTTGCCATATTAAACACATAACGACCTGACTGTAAATGTAACAAGTGTTGAAAATAAGGAAATGTTTAGTCCTAACCATGACTTCAGTAAGAAAAGAACGACTGTCTCCTCTACTTAGGACTAACGTTCGTGTCAAGTATTAACCTCGCTAAGCACACAGCTATGGAAATGTGGCCTTGATACAATTCATGAAAAGAAACGATTTAGTATTACCCAGTGAATGTTCGTGCACTGACCACGGGTTTAAGCAACGGAAACGATTATTGCGAATTACCGTAAACCTTTCAGTGGTTGTATTAAAGTACGGACTGCACTTGGGGTGGGAAATGCTGATTGATTTGAGTTGTATCAGGCCAACTGCAGTTAATAATTGATATAAGGAAATACTCCAGCCATCTGTTGCCGGGCGTTGTAAGAGTTCAGATAATCCAACGTAGTCACAGCCCTCTTCAGTATCCTGCTTCATCTACAGAGAACAGCGAATGATGTCCACTATTTCTTTGACCAAGGCCTAAACTTATCACGATGCGTTGTGTGTACGTGTATATTGATAAGAATCCTTTGTGTGGTAATGTCATGCGTTGTGATGTAAACTTAATATATGTCTAAAATACTTGCATAATGATAGGACGCTTCGCTTAAGGTTATATTTTCAAAACTTTACTTTTCTCGGACTCATACCGTCAATAGTGCGAACGAGTTGATATATGCTGGCAAAATCAAACATCACTTTACTTTATGAGGGCATAGATAAGAGCAATTGCCTCGTCGCCAATAATCAAGATAAATGTGGGTTTGAGAAAGGCTTACGGTTGTCACTGAACCGTGTCTGGATTGTCCGGGTGCAGTCTTCCCATTTTAATGGATAGAAAAAAGTGTTATTAATTTACAAGGGTAGCAGATTTTCTGCCAGAATTTCTGTCCCACGTTAGACACACATACTATTTATTTTCAAAGTCAGACATGCCTGAAAGAACATACACCATAATAACAACGCCTCAGGGTTGTTACAAATTGGTTTCGAGATATTTATCCGGTGTATAATCAGTGAAGCAACAGGGATAAACACGGTTTTCCCTTGACAGAATTATACCCCGGATGAAACAGATATTTAACCAACACATAGGAATTAAAAATCATGTTTAAAATTATCCTCACCAATTTAAAAGCATTGTATGATCAGCTGAAAGAATTTCTCTCAAGGATTTTTCGGGTCAAATACACATTTCGTCTTTCATTGGGACGACGGTCTAGAGGGAAAAAGGGGGAGGTAAATTTGGCAAATATACCGAGGGCGGGGAGAGTCAATATAACGTTGTCGTGCAGAAATTGATAATTCCCATTTGCCGTAAATAGAGAAGTTGGCTTTAGTTTCAAGGTAATATTCAACGATTGACATGAAAAACTTACGATATGTGGTGGGAAGTGGTGTTTATCCAACTTTCTCTGATATCGTTTTTGTAGAACTTGAGCATCCATGGCATCTTTTATTCCCCACGCATTGATATCTAGACTTGTGGCAGGCACATTTCCCTCTTGACCGTACTGGCTGGTTTTGGGGGCTTTCAAGGCCCTTTGAATCATCAACGCGTCTGCCCCTACTTGAGGGATGTTGTCTGGTATCCTTTTTTCTGAAGTTTTAGAATCTGCATTTCTCTTGAAATTTTGCTGAACAGACATCGCGCTTTTAATTCCAAGCGCTTCCTTGTCAATTTTGGCTCCACCGATTCTCGGTACATGACTGTTACAGTATATTTCCCTGTCGTCTGCATCAACTTGATTTGACCAGTAGTTTTTCAAAGTAAGAAACTGCCCACATGTCACACATTTAAAACACGTTTTGTGAAACACGACGTCGTGAACGGGCCCGAGACGTTCTTGTTGATAAACAGTCGATTTACAACGTTGACATTTTTGTTGATCGATTCCAGGCCGAAGGAAGAGAGAAGACAGTCTCCGGTACCCTCTCTCAATCGACGCCTCGTCTCCCTGCATAGCCATGTTGGACGACGTCTAAACAGCAGACGACACTCAGTAATAGAATAATCACAAACAACTTTCACTCCGAACCTGAAAAATAAATAACACGCGTCACAACTCATTCACCTGGATCATAATACAATATATTCGCTAAAAATAACCTCAAGCCGGGCAGACGACTGGTTCTGAACTTACCTGGCCCAGGTGTATTATATGCGCGGCATGATGAGCAGTTTCCTAAGTAACTGGTCCGAGCAATGTCAAACCAGACATTTTGTGGTAAAGATCTCAATAGACAAGGCTGTCTTTGTCCAAGACTGACAATCTTACATCCCACGAGGGTCGCTTGCGACCGTTTGGCTAATATCTCGTGGAGGACAAACGATGGACGAGTCTACTCTTGACAGCAGGGGGTGTAGGAATATTAGAGCAGCCAACCATAACCCGCCTTACCTGTAGATTGACTGTTTGCCGTGTTGGAGAAAGATCAATTTCTTCTCGGGGGGCAAACAACGCAATGCATTTGCAATGTTGGCTATTCCCCTGGGTCATATTTCGTTGAGATATGTTCAGTGCTGTTTGACGGACTCAATAGACACATTTCAATATTTGTAGCAACGTTTAAAACGCAGCTAAGGGTACTATATTATTTTGGGATATTAATCATTTCGACTATTTTTAACCTGTTTACAAAATCGGATATTGAAGATTGAGATTAAGTTTGATTTCTAAAATCCAATATGAAATTATTCTTAAACAGACACAAAATGAACTTGATAATTCCATTTTTTATAAAGACATAGGATTTCTGCAAAGTAGCTTTTTAGAAAATATAAATGTTATTACGATGTGTCTTAATGAATGGAAATGAGCGGTTTCCGTGCTGGTGTTGATCTGTTTGTATCTAATATTGGTACTCCCGGTGACTGGTTTCAGCTGTCAAACACGCTGCTAGTTGCTAACCTCTCGCTAGGCTATTGCTTTATCATATGTAATGTTAACTGTTGAATGGCCAGGAAGGGATTTCGAGGTAGGGTGCGGGGCTAGTTTGATGGTAGTGGTTGAGCGGATGGCTTTTGAGGTAGGGGCGAGGCGGGGCTGGGCTTTGGAGGCAGGGTGCGGGTTGGGTTGGTCGTAGGGGTACGTTGGTCCCCGGGTGGCTGGCTGTTGAGGCAGGGGGACGGGTTGCATGTAGAGGTGGTGGTGCGAGGCGGGTTGGGAATGGCCTATATTACACGTAGTGTTTTACAACACTTTTAATTTACAGATCTAAGGCACTACAAAACGGAGTTCCAGAATCCCAGATTTGCGCGTGTTTACGAATACCCTATCCGCGAAAGTAAAAGGTGTACATTGATAGTGATTATTAATGTTGTAAAAATAACCCAACCACGACCCCACACAACCCAATCATCAAAACTATTTGCTATTAGGTTAATTAAACATACGCCACAAGAAGAAAACGTGGGTTGGATGTTCGTACTGGCATTAAATTGACAATGTAAACCTACTGCCGACCTGATGAAATAGATGTGAAATGTACAACAGTTTCCCATCTGTTACCGGCTACACACAGCATTGATAGATCCCTCCACGGTGAAATAGACATGCTAGAAACTCTCATGCGTGCCCGTCATACTCCGAGACGCAACAATATGCATTAACATTTCTCATATTGACTGGCTGACCGATTTTCATTCGTTGCACATTCGTATTTTGTAATACCACAATAACACGTTGTTCTCGAGCAACACGACAAGTAGGATAAACATTTCAGTCTTGTTTATTTTTTGAAATGTCTGAAAGCAGGTATTCAGCCCATTCCAGAATCTCGATGCTCAGATGCAAACTTTTGTTTTGTCAGCCAATATCGCCCGCAGCGCGGAAAACACTGAGAAGGAACCAAACATGGCGAATACTTGACACAGGTCTTCGGTCAATAAAGGTTTTAAGATAAAAAAAAAAATATCAAGAAAAAAAATGTCTATAACCCTTGGCCGCCATGTCGAGCTGTCCCAGACTGAATATAGTGAACAGTGCGTGACGAAAGCGAACGACTGAAATAGCTGGTCAATTGCAGTGCCATGACTGACATCTGAAACACAAACTTGACTCTGTCAACACGCACACGTGCTTAGAAAGGTAAAACCGTGCTTGCGTGATATTTACACACATTCCGGGATAATTCGATTCCAGAAAAAGAAAGCATGTTCAATGGATACGTTATATCAACTAACTGGTCTTGCATTATTTGTGAATTATATTTACTTGAAATTGACTCTGAAAGGATTTAGTTTGAAACTTGAAACTTTATCAATAATATGCAACTTTATTTCGTTACACAACATACTTTCACGGGGGCCCTGTGGACGTCCGGTACACGGTATAGGTCTTGGGTACCCTTATGTCGAACCGAATGAGTGAGTGAGTGAGTGTGGTTTTACGCCACTTTTAGCAATATTCCACCAATATCACGGCGTTGGACACCAGAAATGGGCTTTACACATTGTACCCGAACGCTTTAACCACTAGGCTAACCTACCTCTCCATGAACCGAATGAATTTGGGATTGGGTTGTGACAGCGTGGAGCCTGGTAATTGCTATCATTGCATCCCGATAAGGCTGGCTTCATTCTAAGACCAGTGTAATATACCTACAGAGTGACTTCTAGACCACAGGATATGAGAAGTCGCATACATTAATAGTAAATGTGACAAACAACACAAACAGAAACACATGACATATTGTAATCTTAATAGTAGAAATATAAACATATACAACTGTGTAACGATGAGAATGAATGCACGATGAAAACAGTTTCGACATACAACATATCGTCTGTCTGGAGAGTGGAAGATCGTGGGTTCGATCCCCGGCCGCGTCATAACAAAAGACGTTAGCTCAGTAGCTCCTCGGTGAGTGACTGAGTGAGTGAGTTGGTTTAACGCCGCTTTGAACAGTATTTCAGTATTATGACAGTGTGTCCGCTTGATGTGGGAGAAATGTTCAAGGTGGTCCGTGTGGTAGATACTAACCAATGAAATGGTGCCGTCAAACCAATAACCAAATATTCAGGGATTCGAACCCACGATCAACTGATCCCTGCACGTCTAGCATCCCGACAAAGGACACTAGCCAAAGTGATCTGGTCCAGTCATCATGAAAATCATATGTGATAATAATATTAGAATCGATGATAGATGGGTAATCAACCATGTGCAATACGTATGAAGTATGTCACCGGGCAGGATATGGGTTTCCGATGATCACTTGTCCGATAGGTATTAATATTTCACACAATACTGGACCGCAGCTAGTGATCAGAGCGTCTGCCCGGAGATCCGAAGGTCGGTGGTTCGATGCCCATTGCCGCGTCAAAACAAAAGACGCTTCACAAATGGTACTTAACATTACCCTGCCTGGACCTCGGCATTAAAGGACTAAACTAAGGACGGAATGGCTCGGAGTGAGTATACTGTTTTTGAATGGGGTATCCCTGTTAGACTGTGGCATGGTATCTCAGTGGACTCTACACAGCGCTGTAAAACCAGCATAAGGTACAAGCACACGCACACACGCACACACACACACGTACATGTGCAACAATCTTGAACGGGACGATAAACCCCATTTCACCTCGCCCCAAACATTGTTTGAATGGTACCGACACCGCCTGGGTGTGATATTGCTGGGTTATTGAACACGGGGAATGGATGGTTCGGTGAATGTTGTTGTTAGATACTACAGACATCGAGTCTGGACCAGACAGACCAGGGGCCGACAATGTGAGAATCGAACATGGGAGCACTCCTGACACATGGAACACATCCCAAGATACGACCGCATTGCCTGCATGTCCCATGCAGATTACTTACAAAAAGCTGCTGAGTATTTTGAGACAAATACTTCAGGTTTTTTCGAACACCTTTTAAGTATGGAATCTTCAGCGTTGTTTATTACAGCATATCGACATTTCGGAGCAGTGAGGTAACTCGCTCCACGGTCGCAGACTGCTTGTAGCCGACATATTTCAACTGTCCGCAATATACAGGTACACAGATTATCTCTCCCCGACGAGCGTCTTTAAGACACGCGTTGCACTCCTGAGTCTTTCAGAAGCGAGTATGTCACATTGTGCGGTGTGCAGTCTCTTGTTTGAGAACGGTTAACACATTCTGCCCAGTGCCAACTCTCACATGCACCTGAAATATAACACAGGGACGATTGCAAGTCAGTATTTTTCTCTAAAGTCCGAATATTTGACCTCTCTAACGCTATATTGACTTTCGTGCGTTCTCGTGACTTCAACTTATATTCGGAGGGTCATTCGTCAACCGAGAAGACAGAATATCAAATAGCCGAAATTTGACATCGTAATTTACAAAAGTAAGTTTACAGTGTCTCGCTTGTTAATCTGAAAAGGACATTACCCGAGTCTTCTGGGATTGTTTATGGAGATAATGCTTAATTGTGCCAATTAGTGTACGGTGCTGTCGAGAGTTGTGCCCCTTAGCCGTGTCGGGATAGCTGGTCGTGGGTTCGAATCTCATGTTATGAAATTTGATGTGTCATCTTGGACCATACCCGTGGATTCAGGTACAGTGGTAAACGTTACGATGGATGATTTCCTCACAGTTAGGCTAATTAAAACGAAGTTCTTGTTTCTCAGGGTAAGCCAATGTTAGTGTTGAGATTATTTCAAGTGTAACGGGAACTTCACACTAGGACCGACCCACATCTTAAATTCGCGGATTATTCTTAGTAAGACCCGTGAAGATCCGGGGTAGAATAGGTCCTCAGCAACCCATTCTTGCCGTAAAAGGCAACTAAGCTTATCGTAAGAGGCGATAAAAGGGATCGGGTGGTAAGGCTCTCTGACTTGGTTGATGCATGTCATCGTATACCAATTCCGTGGATCGATGCTCATGATGTCAATCACTGGATTGTCTGGTCAAAACTCAATTATTTACAGACCGCCGTCATATAGCCGGAATATTGCTGAGTTATACATCAAGCAAATACACAAACAAGCCATCTTCGATACCATGCCGCAGTTTAATTATAACATAGATACCCCACTCAGACACGGTATACAGACTCCAAGCCGACTAGTTCTTGTTTTAGTCCCATAACTTAGTACCGAGCGCCAGGTAGGGTAACAACAAGTACCATCTTTTAACGTCTTTTGTTATGACGCGGCCGGGGATCGAACCCACGATCTTCCACTCTCCAGACAGACGATATGTTGCATGTCGAAACTGTGCGGCGTTAAACAAAAAAACCCAAAACAACAATATACTTAGAGAAATATCACTTTCATGTGTGCCTGTATCAATCATGCATTTTTCAGCTTTTCATATTGGAGGGGTTTGTCCCTTGTTAAATTCTAATAATG